ATATTTTCGTTCCCCTCTCCTAGATCTTGCTCGCCACTCTCCCAGATCTCGCTCTCTCACTCGCCTCTCTCACTTTATATAAAAATGCAAATGTATAAAATGCGTGAAAATTGTATATATACATATATTTTCGTTCCCCTCTCCCAGATCTCGCTCGCTCACTTGCCTCTCTCACTTTATACAATTGATGTTTTTGTATATTTATACCAAAGCAGACTATACAACTGCTTTCTTTTGTATATGTATAACGAAATATACATATTTATGTTTGCTATGGAGCGCAATTATGCAAACTTTGCTATAACATACAAATATGAATTTTGTGTTTGCTATATGTGAAAGTTGCTCTAGATTTTATAATTTATTTTACGTTTATATAGTATTATTTTACGCATTATTTTGTAGAATTAAAAAAAGGTAAAACAATATTTCTATTTATTTGATTGTCCTTTGAATTTCAACAGTTACTATAACACTTATGGATAGGTTTTAGTTTTCACTTTAATTATATAAGTAAGACACCAAAATATCAAGTTTTGATCATTTTATGTCTTCTCTACAACAATCTACTCTTTTTGTTTATTTTTATTTTGCTTAGCTCCAACAAAAATGTCCACGTAAATCTATTTTTTCCCTTTTGAAAAGTTTATTTTTTGCCTATTGCTACCATTTAGGTGTTTATATATCTATGGACTAGATTGAAATGTTTTATTATACTTTATCTAATTAATTTATGTCTACTTTATTATCAATCAATTATTTGTAGCCGAAAGAGGTCTCCAGATAGCTATAGTTGTACCTGCCAAGTATTTCTTTTCCCATTACTTCTAACAAGTATTTATGAAACTGGCATATATGCATATTTCCTTTATGCAACAATCTCCACTTAATTGAACTTTAAGGAACAATTACACTACTTTAATTTTTCATTATTGCTATTTTTTAAAGTTTGCATTGAACGTCTTTTTTATGTTAAAATTGAGACATCATTATCATGTTATATTGCGTAGTATAATCATACTATAGAATTTGGCCGCGCTTCGTGCAGTTATAAAAATATATATAAGTTTATTTTAGAAATTAATTATGATACAAGAAATAAAACCAATTATAGAAATAAGAAAATGATAAAATCACGATACAAATATTTTTGTAGAATTAGAGCTTAAGTGAATTACATTTTTATTATCAAATATTTTTCAAAATTAAAAGGCGAACTTATTAAGAAAAAAAATCATAGATTATGATGTTAATACATATAATTCGAATAAACATATTTAAGGACTTGATCTTTTTTTCTTGTTTTTATTAAATATTAAATTTACTATCTGATGAATCTTCTTTTTATTTGTAAAAAAATAGATGAACTAAAAATAGGAGGAAAAAGAGATAAGTATTTCAATCGAATTTCTTCTTTGATACTTAATCCTTTCATTTTCCTTGTATTTTTCTCTAATTTTTCATCATCGTCTAAATAAATATTTTTCTCTTATTTTCCATCATCATCATCTAAATAAACCTCTATTACTAATTTCTGTGTATATCTTATATTATTCTTTTGGTAATTCTTTTAAAGTAGAAGAAATGAACAAATTTAAAGAAAATGTAAATGGTTCTTCACCATAATAAACACCTAAGAACGGTGTATTTCAATATTTTATATACATTTCTTTTAAGCCATGAGTAGTAAAATTTGAACGTCTCTTAGCGTAGTTAGCTATTTCTGGCAAAGTTACAAATAACTAATTTGAGCCTAAGTGAAAATGTAATTTACTACGATTAAAAAATTTATAAGAACCTAAATTTAAAAATATTATAGAGATAACACATTTTTGTTAAGTTCGTAATCACAAAAACAATATGAAAAAAAGTTACATAATCAGTGCACATATTTTTGAGTTTTTATCCGGCTCCCCTCTATCCACATCCAAGAGACTTTTTATGGAGTCAAACTAAAGTATAAGTCTAATATTACAAAAATAATATAAAATATCACTATTTCAAATATGAAATAAAAATAATAATCTTGAGTAAGAATCTTATGAAACCAAAAATATGAATTTATATTGACAAAATTAAAGTAATATCACAAGGTATCTTAAATTTTGAAATTAAATAATTGGGGGTTATGGATATGAAAATTTAAAGAAAATGAGTTAATAATATTAATTAAAGTAAAAGTTCAATAGATATAAGTTATGGAGATAAAAAAATTAATATAAATAAAAGAAGGAAAAATAAAATAATGAAGCTTCCTTCTTCATTTCGATGAACTTATACTAAACTAATGTGAACATCTCTTTGTAATGAATTTTTGAAGAATATATCATTGATCTTCATCAAAGTGAAGCACATATCATGTCACTATCGTTTCTATAATTTCTTATGAAAAAAATGAAGAATAAAAAAAAGAAAAAAAATTAAAGAGAAAAAAAAGAAGGGAAAATTGTATATAATAGCAAACTATTAATTCAAATTAAATGCTATAAATATAGTTTGATTTAATTGTACCTCATAGCAAACTGTTGCTATTTCACCTCTCTCCTGGTGAATCTCGCTCACCACTCTCGTTATCTCCCTCGCCTCTCTCATTTTCTATACAAACGCAAGTGTATAAAGTGCGTTTGTGTTTGTATAAAGCGAGAGAAAATTGTATATATACATATATTTTCGTTCCCCTCTCTCCCCTCTCCCAGATCTCGCTCGCTCACTCGCCTCTCTCACTTTATACAA